CAGGTCTGAAACCGGCCTGGTTCTCACGCGTACACCGTTCACGTGCGACAGATAATCGACGGAGTATGATACCGGCGAGAAGTTTAGAAGCAATATCTCACGTGCGGCAGACAATCGACGGAGTATGATACCGGCGAGAAGTTTAGGGGCAATATTGAGACTAATTCCTCTGTGGTTTTCACAGGAGGATCTGTCACCTTTCTTGTAAATCGGTATGATGACCGATTTACACCATTCAGTTGGAACCTCTTCTTTTTACCACACTGGGCCCAGGAGTTTTGTTAACTCCAAAACCAAGGCTGAGCCTCCATCCTTAANTAAGGGATTTGCGCGCTTTGTCGTATCTTGAATCCGATGGAATGGCTTTGCGAGTGTCAGCACAAAGTTGGAGTAGGCGTTCTCCGTTGTCAGTCTTGTTGGTTGGGATTGCATGCGGACCACCAAGTAACCTCTCTGGATTATCCTGTTACATTTCTCAACACTCTTTACGGGGCTTTTAATTTTAGGTATATTGTCACCCTTACTTGCCTTGACAACGGTACCAGTGCATCTTTCAGTAGAATTGCCCTCAATGCACAGTGCGACGAAGTGCACTTCACAGATAACTAACTCGTCGATATTTTATTTGGTTAATGCTTAAACATTCAAGGATCAACTGGCACCGTCGAGCACTTCACTTTGAAGTTTACCTGTTCCGTTCACGTTGGTGGCGCAAACGGACAGTGAATAACGAGGGAACCACTGGAGCAGGATGATGCAGAACGATAAAGCACCGGCCACGTGAGTGTTGAGCGAAAAAAAATTTCGCGAGTTTCCCAAACTTTCAGTGAACCGATTGCCACCGATCGTGTCATACACAACAAAAGAGAGTCACGTCTGAATGCATCAACATTACTCATTCGGATTAAGACAAATTCAGCATAATCACAAGCCATACTGTTTGCGCAGTGTGACCTAATCACTGTTCGGTGTAAACAGCGGGTTTGGTCAAGAGTTGTTGTACACCATCCCATTACCGCAAAGGTCGTGTTTGAACTCCAATAACAACGCCTAACCTGATTGACCTTTTACTATGTATCTCAGTAAAACTGCCACTGGGCAATTTCTTAAAGCTCTCTCTACGCTTATGCATGAATTCAATGAAAAAGTAATTGATAGTGAATGACTTACAAAAATCTTTGCTTCATTTTACATTCTTCCACTGTTTCTCGCGGTTTATACATTACCATCAATACTTATCATACCTCGCTCGAAGTTCGTCGTAGAAAATGTTGACCGCATTATATACTGATTTTTTTCACATTTATGCAGTTTCTAGTTGGCTTAGGCCCATTGTCGAGTTGCGTCAATTACCGCCCGGCAGTTGCGACTTGAATGAAATCAAAGCTCTTCCCGGTTTTGGAAACACCATTAGGTTAGTCACCCCGACTGTGGTCGTCGGGGGCCAGGGAGTGGCATGTATTAAAGGAAAGTGGCAAACGCTGCAGAAAAGTCAACTTGATTGACTCCATGTAAAAACAACTGGCTCAAAAAAGAAGGGCAAATGAAACAATGAAAAATGATAGTACGGTGGCTGTAGCAGGTCTATGATTCATTTTTATAAATTATAATTAGGTCTTCTACTGAGGCTTTGTTATCTCACAACTGATGCACCAGCGTCAGTCATCAAAATCGAGAAATTATGCATTTTAATGGCATTCGACTGACAGAAGCAAAAACATGTGGAGATTATTGCAGATATGTGTTTCGTCTAATGTGGATCAATATCGTTTTCAATCTCCTAAATGAGGCTCGAAATATTAAGCGTTGGGAGGAACAAATGTGATGTCCGGATGTGGCACGAGTTTGATCAGTGCCTGTACGTTTATGTAAGCAGTAATAAATTTATCCAAAGTTTTCCTCGGAACGGTGTTTGAAAACGATCATAAACCGGAGTCGTTTTTAGCTGTACAAACAAAAAATTGAATTACTACTTAGATTGGTAGGCAAAACCTATTTTCTACCTGTCCTCTTGGGTAAGATAAATTCGTGAAACGTGAGTTAAAGTACACAAAACGAAATACTTTTTCGTTGTTCTGTTACCGCATCTCTCTGACTTCCAATACGTTAGGATTAAATCTAAATAAAATCCCAGTCAATACCTATCTGCAGTGACCCCAAAATCGAACCATCCACGCCGACTCCGGTGCATACGGTTGTCTTGAATTAGTAATAGTAACTGATGTACACTAGGAAACCTCATTCAGTGTGCATACTAATAGAAAACGTTTTTCCCCAGATGTAACTAAGTACCTCAACATCATTTTACCGGGGTTCTTTCAACTGTGAGGGTCGTCGATAAGAGATCTTAAAAAATGCGGCAACGAGTAGCACGGGTTACAAGTGTAACGATGAATTGATCAAAGTTGTTCAAAAAAAGTAAACGATGGGTTCCACGGATCGTGCCTCAAAAGGTCTCAGTGTGTTAAGGNTTAAGGACCATTATGATAGGTATGAGAAACTGAGAGGTTCATTCACTCTACCAGTTCAGCTTCAGGTATAAGGTGAAAAGGATAAGCCAGACCGAATTGGGATAGTCCTCATTTTGTGTAATTGATTCCGGTCCTGTCTCTAAGTGAAAACTAGCCTTCTTTGCAGTCCACTTCACCGTTCATATCTCATAATAAACTAAATCAGTTGAACATTGTGAAGAAAACAGCTGACATTAGTTAACGGATATGTGGATTAGATGGGGTTTGACATACGAGGACATCCCAGTCGATGAGCAGCATGTTAAATTTCACAAACTCAAAATTGGTTACTTAAGTGGGTACAACATTAAACCTGTGGAGGTACAAACCAGTCAAATCAGTCAATCCTGTTCAGTTGGGGATTGAGGGACGTAAAGCTCAGTCAACGGGAATTGGATTGTTCAACCTATTGAGGCCCCCAATATAATCGTTCCCGTTCCGTTCAGTCCCGACGGAACAAGACCCGAATAGCATCGAAATGGTGTGGTCGTCATGGTGTATTCAGAGGAAGTTTCGTTTCAGATAGTATGAACAATAGAATTTGTAAGTGATAATGAGATCATATCTAGTGTACTGCCAACTATGGGTCTGATTAGGAACCACTTTTCTGATTTGCGATCCTTGAGAAAATAGCTAAATACAATTGAATGCTCGAAATGTTTTAGTTTACTCAAGTCACACTCACAGGTTTGCATGCAGATATTTCCACCAGTTCATCTTTGGAGCCAAAAGAATGCATTTAAACATAACAAATTCCAAATATCTTCATCATAAAAATCAATGCGATCATTTGACCTGAAGGCAAAGTAGACCGATCCAGTATATCCGCTTAACTTTCAGTCGATATTATATCGCCCAATCAGATCTTCCATGCAGTTAGTTCTCGAGTGTGTATAGTTACAAGTATGAACTGAGGATTGTGTGTGAAGAGGTCACTTAAAGGATGATCAGCCAAAATCAATATTGATTTCATATGTATTACTCATTCGCTTCGGATCACTCTTTGATTGCCTTCTATCGATTTTCCTAACTGACAATTTCGAATCTGGTTGAATGAACAAATCCAGTAGAGCTGATCCTGTGAATGCTGCATTTATTCTGTAGTACTGACATGATTTTGACGCTTCTGTTTCTCTGGATGAGGATGAATCATGTGAAGAGCACAGATAGCTTTTCATCCAGGAATTATTTCTTGCAATTAAAACTTTTGACTGAAATATGCCTAGGCTGTCTAATTGTAGGGATTCAATGTCCCATAGCAGATGTCTTCTATCTTTGGTGGATGAACGATTCAAAACATGCAACCTATGATACTCGAGAACTCATATCTGACAACAGTAACTGGCAATATGAGACGAAGCTTTTGGGTTTGTCCAACATTGCACTGTCATGGGACGGTTCTGGCTGCTGACTTTCGACTGCTCATTGGTCCAACTAATATGGATGGATTTAATCGAACAGTTCAAAGTCAAGTCCGTATAAGTTTTTTACTGAAAAGGAAGAAGATTAGAGCTGTGTATAAAATGGGTGGAAGCAACAATGCCAATATTAACGATACACAATCGTTTCAACCAATGTCTCCCTGTCCAGTGATTGAGAAGTCCGATGCGGCTCACGTAGCCTGGTCAAACTATATACAGGCTTCGGTTATCGAAATGTCAAGTGTACAGTCGTAGCACAGAGACGTTCAACAACCAATATGAATGATGATTTTATTTTAAACGAAGAATTTGTCGTGTATATAGCAAATGAAGGGTGAAATGAAAAGCTAGAAGGCACTTGACAGCTGTTTCGACCAGGTTGGGTGTCATCAACAGTGCAAAACCATCGATCCAACTGGGGATCGAACCCGGGACCTCATGGGCAGAACGCAAGCATGCCACCCACTTGGCCACCGGGTAGACTTTTTTATTTTCCAATGAGTGGCATGCTTGCGTTCTGCCCATGAGGTCCCTGGTTCGATCCTCAGTTGGGTCGATGGATCCGCACTGCTGATGAGACCCAATCAGGTGGAAACAGCTGTCAAGTGCCTTCAAGCGTTTCAGTTCACGCTTCATTTGCTATAAACACGACGAATTCCCCTTTTGAAATGATTTTTTTATTACACACTTTTGTGTGATGAACAACAGACGGGGCGAACCCCACAGTCACGAGGACCTGTGGCTCAGTGATGGAAACCGGTGACCTAAGCCCCGGGATTTGGAGTGGCGAACCACATAAAGCCCCACTAGGATTTGTGGGTCGAACCCCAAGAACCACTCACTGTATATCAGTGAGGAAAGCCTAAATCGCTCGATCATCAGCTCGATCACAATATCTGTTCACAGGTTATTTGTTCTCACGCAATGAACGACTTTTCACACCTTCGGTGAGGTAAGAGATCGCGTAAACAAAACAACAACCTGCCTCATGACCAGTATAGGAAACTTTGGGGCCAATGATGTGATAGTTGATTGCAAACATGTATCCATGTTATCAATTTGACAAAATGAGGATGAGGTAGATACTAAAAGAGGTCTATTTGAAACACCTCAGTTAACGATGGACGCGTGGCAACGTGATTCAAAAACCCCAGATCAGAAACAACTGTGTTAAGAATATCACCCCGATTAGCGCGGAAAAGTTTGCAACTGACTTACCAGAATGGGTGTAGAATTCACCAATAATTTACACTGAGCTACAAAACCGGTTACTTACTTGCCATTCATTAGTACTTCATACATATATAAATCGATTATAGCAGCGTAAATTTGTTCCCATCTAATGTGGCAAAATAACACAATCAATATCAGACAGAAACAACTAAATCTGGTGACCAAAAGTTCGTTATCAGCCATTCTGATTTTGTAGTGAAACCTATGGATGTGATGAACGCAATCTATAGCAAAATACGTTTGGAAAACAGCACGGTTCTGTGGAAAGCTCGCCACTGATTTCCATTACCTAATGTTCGTTTCCGCGGACTCCGCATGCGAACCAACAGCAATCCCCGCAATATAAGAGTTATTTGTACAAGTAAATTGTAGACATTTCTATTTATGTTGGCGGTGGCCAAGAAATCTAATGATTTTTTGTTGATTCAAAACGACCCAGGCTACTCCATGTTCAAAACCCGCAACCTTCACCTAAGTTCAGTTGTAAACGGTTCCGTTTTTGATACCTGATCTGTACCCAAAATGTGAGACCTCATCTGTCTATCTGCACTAAACTCCAGGGCTTAGGCTATTGGTTTGCATAACGGAACGGTGAGTTCGCGGAACTTTATATATTGTGTACATACCAGCCCTTCACACTTGCTGGACCTTTGATAAGATACATCTGATGGAAAATAAGGTCGCGTGGCTCCAATATTTTTCATTTATTTTGAGTGTAAGCGACTCCAGAATTCCCGGTATAATAATCCTTTTGCATTTCAAACCCTGGAAAAATCGGGCAGAAACTTCTCGTAATCAGGTCTAAAAAAGAGCACCATGATGAACTTCGGCAAACACAGTGTACTGTTCAGTGAGACAAAAGAGTTATTCGGTTGATATCTATAACAAAATATTGGACCGGTTGTTATTTCTTTTTGACATTTTCCCAGATGACTTGCACGCTTCTTCAGAGAGTTTCATCTCCCCTGATAAGACATGTATTCCTCTTGGTTCATCAACTCAGTATCCGTTTCTTGAGCTCTGGATAAAATATCCTCGTCGAGGAGAGTAGTGAGTAGGATCTGTGCAACACTCTGATAGAGCAATTACAGCGACCGAAACGAGACCTCCTTGCTCACGAGTTCATTCACGATCAAAATCCACCAGGAGATGCGTGCGGGTAGTGCAAAAACTGAATGAGGTTGTGTAATAAATCCGAGACTTGCCGAATCTATTTGGAATGATGTCTTGGTGTACGCATAATTCCCAGTTTATCCAGTCAACCGTTCCGAATAACCGTTTCTGGTGAACTCATTGCCTTACCGCAACGGGTCACAGACTTGAGAGACACTAACTGTTGATGACAGTTTGCGGGTGTGGCATGCAGATAGATGGCTGGAGCACTCACATTCAAAGCATGGAAAAATCGAAATATCCATTATGGTGGATGTTCACAGACCAATATTGAGGTTTAACAACTGGTAGAAGTTTAAAAGCTTGGATGATGAAAACAGGTGATTAACACTTTTGTCTAGAACATTTATGGATTAATTCCTTACTGGGACGACTTTTGGATCCACGTGTCATGAGTGGAGAATCGTTTCGATTCGGTGAGGATTAGTGGAAGGCACGAAACGTCCAATAACCGATTAGCTATGGTGACATTAGCGCTAATGTTATAGCCTAAATTTTTTGCATCCATATATGAGTCATACTCAGCGAACCTGGACGATAATTCAAGCACGCACGCACACGCACACACACGCATACATGAAAACCTTTTTCTCGTTCAACATATCAAGTAATTAAACCGCAAACATGAAGAAGTGATAGCCGTGTCCACTCGATTCGACAACCTCGTTCCTCGCCTCATCGTGTTTTTGCATCAAGATTGAACAGGGATGAAAGGGCGTGTAGTGGGCACCACTTCAAACCCACACACATACACACACCACTAGGACCGGACAGCCAGATAAGATATAGGTATCCATAGCACCAAATGGGTGCAGATAGAGTGATGGCATTTTGCAATCCCACGGTGATTTACACATGAATGTCCACGTCGAAGCAACACTTCATTCCCCGGGATGTCTGTTTGTACAGAAACACCATTTACGCAAGAGCTTTATGTAAAATTATTCGGGTGGTTTCCAATAATTCGTGCAATCGGACGACGAAACACCTCCCTGGTCATTGGCAGCATTGACCAAACACATTGGACCTGGAAAATCCCGGTTGGTGATCTGAGGTGTGAAGCCGGTTTGGTTGGCAGTCCCAAATCACCATGATATGATTCAGAATACGCCTGAGATTAGAAATTAGAAAAACAACCACTTTGAAAAAGAAGTTATTGATTCCGAAAGCTCAACACGATCCAATCTTTATTCAACCTATATTGATTGAGAGAACCCTGTTCAATTCAAGCTTTTTGGTGTTTGTGAGACGTTCGGTTGAATGAGGATGAGCATTTACAAAGCGCCCCAGTGTATTTAAGAAACGGGCTGGCCATTTTGAATTGATTATGAGTCGTGTACATGTCTCACTGGACCTTTTGATTCATGGTTGCTTTTTGTATTTTCCCTGTCTTCTTTGAAAGCCCCTTTACGTAGAACCCACTGTCAGAGGTGCTTCCTACCTGTGTATTGAGTGTCAGTGAGTGACCAGGGATTATGCGGCCTGTTGTGAAGACACTAATTGTATAAGAACTCGGACTGCGTTGCTCGGAATCAATCTGCCAGTGTATTTCAAGTGGATTCATAACTGGGGTCGGTCCTGCATACTACACCAGAACAATTCGAGGTGCGTTCGGTAACATCACTTGGCAACGGTAGACGAAGTAGCAATCAAAATCCTGAACCCATCACTGTACAAACATATGAACATGGTTGCCGCACTCCGGTTGCCTTTTTTCCCTCTGAAACCTACGAGACGAACCGAACCATTAGCTCAACCACGTTGGGATGACGCAACATTGCGTGACAAGTTGTACGTGAAAAAGGTCATCCGAAAATTCCGGAATTGACTTTACCTCCTCCCCCTTTCTCCGGTTGCCCCTGTAGAACTTGACAGATATTAATCTTCGTGCCCGTTGAACTTGACGAACCAATCACGGTTATTCCTATCTTATATGCGAACACACAACTGTAAATGTTCGAAGATGAAATTGCAAAAATAAGCTTGTTCGCCATATTGTCTGTCTTTTGATATTCTTATGGGGATCTTCCACGAATTGGGGATAGATCAGTAACCCTGGTGGGATTCGAGGCCATCAGCTTGGTGGCTAGTTGACTGCGTCGACAACAGCCGAGGTATTCGTACCCAAAATTATTGAAACCTGGTCTAATCGAAATGCATTCACTCAGGCGCATCTGCGCGCGCAGGCAACTAGACGGTTCTGTCGCACAAATGCAACAGAAATCTTTGTGCTGACCGACAAAGAGCACTGAACAGCTGTTTAGTGCCGTTTGGGGGCTCGTCAGTAATGCGCACCTTTTGTGTCTTTTTCAGGGCACGACTCGAACCCCCTCGGGTTGGGAACCGCGCACTTACCCCTAAGTTACACAGCCGATTATACACTAAATTGGTTGATCCATTCGCACATGATGGTGACCGTCGACCGTGTAGCCCAGGGGGAAGTGTCGACTCCTAACCCGAGGGCTCGTGATTCCAGCCTGGCAAGGGCACAAAGAGTAAGCAGTGTTGACGAATCCGTAACAGGACTCAAACAGCCGTTCACTGCAAATTGCGAATTATCACAAAGATTTCTATCTCACTTAAATGCGTTCAACTGATAGGGAATTAACGATCTCCCAAGTAGTGGAATCCACACCCAAGATCATTAAGAGTGCCGGCTGTCTGTGAACAATATAATGGACTACTCCAAGCATTCACCATCTGAGTTCAGTCGTTCGTTTTCTTTCAGACAGCTAATTTACCCTATCACGTGATACAGATGTCATTATCACAGAATTAATAATGACCATCGATTTCGGGATTTCTCATTCAGCTGTAAATTCACTGTTACATAATCATGTTTAACAAAT